GAGGAGTTCCTGGGGAGGAGCACACTGGAGAGCAGACGTGTGACAGACCCCATGGTCACACATGCCGAGTCTTAGGTACTGTGTTTCAGTTCCAAGTTTGAGTTGGGGATTACTAAGCAGGTGGACGATGGAAGGAGGGCTTTTTGAGGAAACCGTGATGGAGGGCAGGGAAGCTGACAAGACTTGGAAAGGCTGTGTAGAAAGGCAACACAGGAGTTGGGCCTCTGCCTAGGGCTCAGGTAGCATGGCTAACCCTTGCAGTGTTATTCCACTGGTTGCACGATAGTGCTTCTTTCACTGGTGACAGTCCATTTTGAGCTGGGGCTGCCCCTGTGAGGAAGCAGTCCTCCAGGCTTCTTAGTCCCCAGGCATTCTAGAAGGGACAGCTGTGAGCAAGCAGCAGCCAAGCAATGGAGAGTGGGTGTTTTTGTGAGCCAAGGGAACTAGGCGGAACATAGCAGCCCACTCCCTACCCCCAGTTTGCCTCCACTTGCCTTTGCATTCCTTAAAATGGACCACTGAAACAGGTAGATCAAAACCAACAATGCTTTTCCAAGGCGAGGAGCCAGGAAGCATGACCACAGGGCACCAAAGAAGCCCAGATCCTTTGGCTGTAGAATCTAGGTTGCCTGTACTCTGCTTCTGAGGCCTGCAACAGGGTGAGAAGGATGCTATGCCATCTGTTCTTAGGCACACACCCCCCCACCAGCTGGCCTGTCTATGTCCCCGGATGCCCACTTCTAAGTATGAGGGACAGGGATTATAAGCTTGGGGCCCTTGGCACCCAAGCAGTATTTCCTGAAGAGGCTTTGTTGTCATCTGCTCTGCTCAGGCCTTACTTAGTCTTCCTCATCACTACTGAGGAAACAGATGGTTTGGTAGTTTAGCAGATCTTTCTGAGGTCCCCTTGTCATGCTTGACATGTTGGCCCATAGCACCTGAAGAAGGGAACAAGCTGATCTGGCACAAAGCTTAGCAGGGCAGTCACCCTGTCCAGGCAACGGGTATGTTGAGTTATGTTTCTCTCAGGGGTGGGGGGATTGTTGGGATTCAGCTCATACCAGGAAAGCAAGGACCCCAGGAGTAAGCTACTTTCATCACTTCCCAACCCAGAGCCGCCGACCCAGAAGGAAGATGCTAGAACAATTCTGTGCAGAGAAAGGCCCTGCACTGGGAGAAGAGATAGCAGTGTTTTCTGCCTGGCAGGCCCAAGGAGGCTGGGGCTGGGGCCTGAGCCAGAGACCCAGCTAGAGCAGCAGCGTGGTCAGTGGCCTCTGTTGTGGCTGACTAGAACTGAGGTCTGCTTGGTTTGGTTGAAAAGCTCCTGGGCATGGTTGTGTTCCACAGTCCTTCTTGTGGATTCTAAGAGTGAGCTCAGTGCCGCTAGTCATTAGCCTGAGGCCATAAGGACGGTTCCCACTGAGCTTGTTGGCAGAGCAGGCCTGTATGAAGTGGGGAGCCCATCCATGGACCTCAAGAACAGAAATTGTTGGGTGAGGCAAAGTATGTCCTAGAGTAGCAATTTCAACTTGGAATGACATGTTCATGTGGCACTGTGAACTTCACTATTCTGTACTTTCCCCCAGACCTTTTTGAGGGTGCACAGGCCTCCAGGCTAGCAACAGTCCCATGCAGTGCTCATTCTTCATGAGAGCAGCCTGAACTACTAGGAGAGGGTAGGCAGGCATGACGAGGATACAGCAGGCTTGAGCACCGGTAAACTCTGTCTCTGCTTGGGTGGGCTTACCAGAGATGGGCTTCTGAACAGAATATGGCAGCCATATTATTCCCTGGCAGGTGGGGCATGCCACCAATGGTGGGTCTTGTTTTTCACTGTGGCCAAATGACCGAATTTTGAGTCATCAAAGTTTTCCAAGTGGCACTGGCTTGACAGGGAGGGGGCAAATAGTTGACTCTGAGGAATAGCTAGGGATTTCTGTGGTATTCTGTGGTTTGCCTGGGACAAGATGTACCACCCAGACCATGTAGCTTTCCATCCTGCTATGAAGCAAGCAAGTCTCAGTTACTACAAACAGTTGGGAGAGGGGTGGCCCCAGGGTACACTTGGCCACCCATATTTAGCAGACAGACCAATATTCAGGGGTTGAGATAACTTTCCTGAAGCTGTGATGCCATACGAAGCTGACTTGGTAGGACCATGGCACTTTTTAGGTTCAGCAAATGGATCCCCAGCACTCTACTATGGGCTATGTCTCATGCTTAACATAACTCCTGGTCTTTTCACTGTAGCAGCAAGCCCTTAGAGCCAGTCACTAAGGAACAACAGAGCACACTTTGGTTCTAGAAGCAGGGTGGGTGGGGGGTATGGGGGCATCATCTCTGAACTAAAGGGGTCACATCTGCTAGGAATTGCTTCACCACAGGTGATGCCTTCTTGTCATTCTTACGTGATGAAGGGGGAGATGTGCTTCCTCGGGCCTTACAGCACTGACCCTCAACTCAACGAGGACTGCACCTCTATGACCTAAGCGTCCCCCAATGACCCCACTTCTTAATACTTTAGGCATTGACATGACTTTGGAACATACACTGTTATATAGACCACAAGGTTGGGACCTATTAGCTGTACCTTAGATCATCTGCTGGACAAGATCAAGACAGGACGGGATGGCCCTGGCAAGATGGGAGGGAGAGCAGTGGTCAGGGAACATTTCTGGGGCCTGCCCCAAGGCCCCTGCCTTTGTTCACTGTACAGCTCACAGAGAACAAAGAGGCATGTTGTTGTGGCATCTGGCACGCCGTTGGCATCACCCACCCAGCACAGGCAGCGAGTGCTGCGACACTCATGTACTAACTGTACATTGCTGTTTACTCTTACACACCTGTTCAAGCAGGGATGCAGGAGGGTGGGTTGGGCTCTGGGCTCCCGAGTCCTTCACTAGTCTTAGCCTCCTCCATCCATGCAGTCTGGCCCCGCAAGGCACTGCCAGTGCTGAGCCGTCCTTCTCTCCTGTGCCATGCTCTGTCCCGCTCAGCTCAGTCCATCGGGCTGTAAGGCAGAAGGAACCCCTGAAGCGCCTCCAAGTATTGCTGTGTCAAGAAAGGAATGCATTCTATGACTGTGGGACTATATCAGACATGACATCCCAGCATCAGCAGGGCCTTACAGCTAGCTGTGGGGTCTTCTGGCCTTGGCCTGCACCTTGGGACCAGATGGTGGCCCAACCTCCTTTCCTGAAACCCAGAACTGAGCTCCTTAGCATCTCAGCCTGTTTCTTTCTCTTTTATTTATGTCTTGGGCACATTGTGTGTGTGGTGGGAGTGCTCTGTGGTGAGCTTGTTGAAATCAGAGGACAACTTTTGGGAGTTATTTCTCTCTTTCCACCATGGAGGTTCTAGAGATTAAACTCAGGTCATGAGGCTTGGTGGCAAGAGTCTTTTATCCATTAAGCCACCATGTTGGCTCCTCCTGTCTTTAATTGAAAGATCCCAAGAAAAGTGAAGCCATCAGAAGGGTGCCTCTTGTGGAGTGTCGGAACAGGGTTATGTGCCTGTGATGGGCACCGCCACCTTCCCCTAGAGAAGGACACCTTTCATCCTCTGTCTGTCGAGCCTGTTCTAATAACCCATTTACTATGGCAGTAAGAAGATAAACCCTTTGGCCTTTGACAGAATTGGGGTCCTTGGGACAGGTCTGTGCTTTTCATAGGTTCCTATGCTCTGGGGAGAAGTCAAAGCGTGCTCCTCTTTCCCTGGTTGCCACAGGGCCTTTGAGGGAAGTCAGCAGGCCACAAGTGTTCCTCACTGCCACAGCCTCTACCCCTGTCTGCTTAGGAGCCCCATCTCTGAACTGTTGGGTGGCACCACTGCAGTGTCAGGGCTGACACTCTGGTCAGTGACTTAAAAGGGATTGGCTTCAGTATTGTCTTCAGTTAGGCCTGGTGCCCACCAGGGAGAGGCTCTTGTGCAGCCGCCACACTTCCTCTCTGGGGCTATTGGAGGCCCAGCAGTTAAGGTGGGGACATCACAGGGGGCGGGGGCGGGGGCAACTGGTAAGGGCTAGAAGCAGCTGGAGCCTGAGCTTGTCCTGCACATCAGTGTGGTTCAAAGCCACTGCCCTCTAGATAAGGATCTCCACCATGCCCTGTCTCACTCTGGCCATGGGAAGTGGGTGGGGTGGGGAGTATGGCAGCAGTATAGCCTGGTGATGATCCCGCCTGACTCCGCCCCTTCTCCTAAGAAAGGCAGCTTTGTGTCAGCGAGCTCACTACCTCCCTGGCCCGTGTCTCTGAAAGGACATGTGGAATCTGGGTCACTCCCTGGTTTTATTGAATACACTGTGGCCATGAGTAGTTACGTTGGAGCTGGAGACGTACGTAGTTCAGAGGTAGAGGGCATAGTTAGCACATGTCCAGTCTTGAGCACTGCCACCAGGAAAAAAATCTTGTTTCTGTTTTCACACATACCTCAAACTGTCTTCCTAGACTCAGTCAAAGCTTCGGATAAGAAATATTCAGAAAAAAATGTATCTGCACCGAAAGTGTGAATAACACAGTGTTAGTAGCTGCTGACAGGGCATTCACATCACAGCAGGTATTGCCATTATCCTAAAGCTGACTACACACAACATTTTATATAAGGATTTGCACACTGAAGAGGGAGGGGGTCCTAGAACCAATCCTAGACGAGGGGCATCTGGAATGAAATGGCCTTAGCAAGGATCAGACACCGTGTTGCCAGGCCACCCTTCCAAGAGTCTGAGGTCTACTGGAAGTGTCACAAATGAACCTGCCTCACTGCATCTCCCCACAAGTGGGGTCTCATCAGAATTTCGCCCTTTACGTACTGACTGTCTGCAGTTGGGTGCCTGTTCAGTAGCCAGGGGTACTTCTTCATGAATTGGTCTTACACATAGTAGACTTGCTACAGCCTGGCAGATTAAGTGCCAGCTAGGATTTGTGGGGCTTTGTGGGGTGTGTGGACTGAGGTTCCAGAAGGAGACCAGGCCCTTCACTGACCAGCGTGTCTCTTCTTCACAGAACTGTCAGACCTTCAGCAGCCTCAGTTGCCTGAGCATGGGGGTGGAAGACCACAGCTCCCAGAGCCCCTTTGCCCTCAGCAGTACCCGATCCTGGACCGCACTGCTCTCAGCCTCCAACCCAGGGGGCAGGACCCCTGCTGGGACCCCGGTTCCAGAGCCTGTTCCCCACTCCTTTGATGATCACTTCACCTGCCAGGAGGACCTATCCTGTGAGGAGTCAGATGGCTGCAGTCTCGATGAGGATTGCTGCAGGAAGGGGGAGCCGGCCACAGCCTGGCAGGACCTTGGAGCCTGCACGAACAGCCTCTGCTCTCTGGATGGCGAGCTGGACATTGAGCAGATAGAGAACAACTGAGGGGACCGTGGGCTGAGGCCCGGGGCAGAGCCTTTGTGATGGATGGCCTTCCCCAGGCCTTAGGTGGTCACTCCAAGGAGGTCCTAGCTCCTGGGTCTGGAAAAGCTTCCAAAAGGAAGCCCACCCACTTCCCAAGGAGCAGCTGTCACCCTGTAGTGCTCAAATTTGTGGAGGCAATTTGGCCACACCTCACAGGCATCAGCTGGCCTCCCACCAGTCCCACGGAACTACCGTAGCCCAAGAACAGGCTTTTGGTTTGGTCTCCTCCTCTTTGTTCCTCATGGAGTGCTGGGTAGCCATTCTCCAGTAGGGCTGGGCCAGCTGCATCCCTCAAGTAGGGTGTCAGGGGCCTGAGCCCTCTGTGGCCTCGCTCAGGTTCCATCTGAGGAGTTGCCCAGAGCCTCCTTTTACTTAGTTTACTCCGTGCCTTCTCTCCCAGGTCTCCCTGCCCCAGGCTTGGGAAGGTTCGGGAGACACCTCCTGTAGTGACACCAGACCGTGTGGCCTTAATCCATTTGGGGCACTGTGCAGGGATTCTGGGGATAATCCATGTCCCATTTTTCGGGACCAGGGGATAGGTCAGGGATGACCAGAAACCATCCATACTGGGTAGGCATTTTGGTGGTTGTGTTGACTGAAAGGTGGGCCCATGAGTTCTCCCATGGTGCCAAGAATCACCCACACCTCTGCCAGCACAGGGGCTGCCTTGGCAAGGCTGGCACTGGCAGCCTTGGTCCTGTGTACATTCCTGGGCAGAGGGATGTCTGCTGGCTGCTTTGCAGGCTGGTCACTTTGTAGGCATCCCTCTGTAGCTACCTAGGCTGGGGGCCTGGGGGTCTCCACAGCATTCCTAGCACATTGTTGCTTGTTCACAGACACCGCTGGCTTTAATGAAAGTGTACTGCCATGGGCTTCAAGACACCCCTCCCAGTCCACTGATGGGAGCCTTAGCGGCCCAGCCACAGCTTGGCTTGAATCACACTCCCCCCTCGCAGCTCCTCACTCCCAGCATAGTTCCCAGAGGGCATCTGTCCAGGCAGCTCCCCGAGTTTTCCCTGCAGATATGCTACAGGGCTCTGCACTCTGGGACTCTGGCTTTTAGCAAACTTGGCATCTTCTGCAGACAATAGCAAGTGGGCTGGCTTACACAAGTGGCTTGTTTTCCCATAAGGCTAAAAATAACTGGTGCGTTCTCTTGAGCTCATGGACATGTGATCTAGGCACTTTTGCAGTCACTCTGCTGTGCCTACCCTCCGAGGTTCCGTCCTCTACTGGTTGAGCCCAAATGGTTGTTATCTTTCTCCTAACGGAAGTCTTGATGAGAACCTTTTGTTTAAACTCTACTTTGTCAATCCACCAGAAAGATGGAGGCTCAAGTTCTGATGTATAGGCAGTGTCTCTAAAATCAGACCCGGGCTGGGCAGCATGGTGGATGCATGTGGTGAGGTGGGAGACCACCGGAACTCGGGGTCACTGGAGAGCAAAGTAGAAAACTGGTGAAGGCATGCCATGGGAGCCCTGCCTGGTCGGTCACAGGGGGCATACCTTCTCTTCTCTGAGCAGACCTGGAGGATAGTAGTTGAGAGGGCGTGGGAAGCACACACCAGTGCCCAGAAAGCCCACAGTGAGAGGTTCTGGATCTGGAGTAGCCTCACAATCCCTAAAGCCACCCCTCATGAAGGAGGCAGAGTCTGGGCCCTGTCCCCTGTCCCGTTTCACACAGCCAGCTAAGGCCAAAGCATAGGTTAGTTGCTAGTTTCCTCTTCTGTGGACCAGGTTAGAAGCTCCTGGTGGCAGGTGTGTCTTAAGGCTGTTGTAATGGATGACTGGTCTTTAGGCTGTCTCCTTTAAGCCTGATGGCTGAAGGACAACTTCATCCTCCCTCCCTCTAGGGCATTGTTCCCCGTGCAGAAGAAATGCTCCAGACCTGGGTAGGGATGGACCCTTTGCAGCTTCCTCAGGCCCCTCTGGACTGTCCCTGTCCCACTAAGGCCTTAGTCCAAACCCTCAGCATAGTAGCCAGAGAAGATGGCAGGAGCCTTTCTGCTTAGAGAACAAGGCGGGTCTCATCTAGAAAGTGCCCATTGGTCCTTCAGCAGCCATGCTCCCCAGACAGGCTCATTCATCTCAGAGGAAGGTTCCCCTGGGAGGTTCCCTCTGGCTCCCATGTGCTTGGACCACAGGCAGCAGTCAGACTGGCTCACCCCCCAGCCTGCCTGTGAGTGTCATCCCCCAAAGAAGCTGAGGGTGTGCTTGGCTACCCACTTGCCTAGGAACCCAATGGCCTAGAACAAGGTACGGCTCCACCAGAGCCAACTAGGGAAGAGGGCCATCCATCACATTGCATCCCAGCTCACTCAAAAAGCCACTGAACTGACAGGAGTTACTCTCTGCAGGTACCTGACCTGAGTTTAGCGTAGCAGCCTAGACCGTTTACATGACTGCCCATGCTTGCCTTACCCATGGGTGGTGAAGGTAGAACCTGGTCAGCACCCATGGGCTTTCTGGTGTACAGGCCCAAGGAGCTTGTTCTGCTCGCACATGCAGGCGTGCGTTCTCAGAAGGCCTTACTTTAATTTTTTTTTGTTTTTTTGTAGCAGGAGAGTTTTCTAAATTTGTATGCAGAAAGAAAAGCTAAATAAAAGAAAGATCCATACTAAACAGGAAATGCCCCCCCACCAATTTCCAGATGGGTCTCTTATGCAGACAGATGGTATAATACTTTTTCTCGGGCTCATTCAAGGTTCACCTCAGTCAGAACTCTCCCCTGGACCCTGCACCCCATTTCCACTGATGTGGTTAAAATTACTTGAATGATGGCCACTTAAAACAGAAGCCAGGGCTCAGGGACCCTCTGCCCATGCAGCCCATGATGCTGCCCCTTGCCACATCTGTGCTGCTGGTTAGACCCCTCCCCTTGGTGCCAGGCCCCTTAATGAGAAAGAGAAAGATATTTTTAAATTGCAGACTGATGGAGCTCCTGTAGCCTAGGTAGGATAGCCTGACCTCCTATCATAGTCTCATTGGCAAATGAATTGCATTGTCAATGCCTAGGGCGGGATGCCCAGGGGTCAGCGACAGATGGGCCGGCAGTCTGTGCTAGGAGCATGTGTGCTGTCCCAGCCAGGCGGCAGCGGTGGTACTATTTCAGATAGTATGGTAACTGGTGTGGTGAGTCAGGGCCCCCACCAGGGCAGCAATCCATGGGCAGCCTTGCGGGGTCTTTTCACTAGCCCTCCATGCACCGCTGCCTGCCCTCCCTCCCACACAGGCCATGGCTGCCTGGCGCTACAGTCGCTCTAGTCTCAGGAATTTGCTTGTTACTTTTACTGTGTAAATAAAGCTTCCTGGTCCAACCCCCAGCTGCCTGGGCATGGCTGTGTGGTTTTTGTTGGGTGCAGGGAACCAGCAGTTTCTCATGTCCCCTCTTGTCCATGAGAGTGTTGGCTCCCGACTGGGAGGACCACAGGTTGGGCTTCTGTCTCCATGCCTTGGAGAGAGGATGTTTGTAGGGTGACTATGGGAGCATCCCAGCCTCAGAGGAGAAGCCAGAGACCTACATTGGCATGGGGGTGGGTGGGCGCATGGGGCATGCTGCCTTGTTACTTCTGAGGTGAGAGGAAGAGAAAGCTGACCTGGCTGAGAGACAAGGTTGCCAAGAAGAGTCCCGCAGGGCCTGGGCAGCCAACTTGCTTCTCCACAGAGCAGCACTGAAGGCTGTATAGCTGGGCTGGCAGCTCAGAGCCTCTGCTCCCATGGAGGGCAGCACAGTTCAGAACTGATTCTTGGGCTGTGGAGATATTAGGGCACACAGTTCACCTGAGAATGTACAGCCCTGTGCTTACCCTCCAACCTGGAGACCTGGATAACCAAAGCTCAGGAGATGCACTGTCTGCCGTCCTGATGACCCCAGTGGAGAGCATTTCATTTCTGTCAGCCAGTGTTGGTCCCTGTTATCTGACCTTGGAATGTTCTCCCAGGCCCTCTGCTCTGCTGTGGTCAGTGTCCTTGTCTGGAAGTGACATCCTGGAATACTCGTCTGCTTTGCTTTTTTATTTTTATTTTTGACAATAGATCCTCCGTCAAACAAAATGGTATGTGAACATGTAACTTAAGAAAGCGGGGAGGTGGTGGATGGAGAGATGGCTCAGTGGTTAAGAACCAAAGGCCCCAGATTCAGTCCTCAGCACCCACCGAGCAGCTAACAACCATCTGTAACTATAGTTCCGGGGGATCCAGTGGCATCTTCTGGTCTTCCTGGGTACTGCATGCATGTGGTTTATAGACACATGCAGGCAGAACATTAATAAACAAAACCTAAACATTTTAAAAGAAAAAAGATGTCCTGGAGTAGTGACACACACCTGTAACCCCAGTACTCAGGTGGCTGAAGCAGGAGGATTGCATATTGAAGGCCATCTTGGGGACCCTGCCTCAAAAAAACAAAAACAAGCAAAAAACAACCACAAGGGCTAAGGATGTAGGTTAGTTGCAGAGCCTTTGCTAGCATGTGCCAGGTGCTAGGTTCACACCCTAGAGCCACCAGAACAAAACAACCCACAAGCCACCCTTTGGGGTCAGAGAGCTAGCTTGGCAGGTAAGGCAATCACTGGCACACTAGCACATACATACACACACATACGCATACATACACATACACTGTACACCATGCACACAGTTAAATTAGAGCACACTTGAGAGACCCCAGGCTGGCCATCATGGTCTTCCCAGGGCACCACTCTTTTGCATTTGTATATGGCAGGTAAGGTGACAACAGCAGGACAGAGGGCAAAGAAAGCTACCAAGCCCAGCCTTGCTCCTCAGATTCCCAAAGGCAGGGCACAGTGGCCTTGAAGTACCTGATGCCCCTTACCTGCACCTCACACTCCCCAGTGGTACCAGTTTCATGTTGACCCCGCCCCTCAGGGTGACGACACGGCTGCCCTTGCCTCTATCCCGATGCCTCCTTACCACTTCTGTGTCCTACACACTTGAGGTCTACTGAACCCCACTTGCAGCCAGGCTGGAGCTCACAGGCAGCAGTATCACTCCATGCCCTGAAGCCGGACAGCTGCAGGCCTCAGCAGTCTGCAGTCCCCAAGTCCAGCTGGCTCATGGGTGCATTCGTCCAGGGATGCTCCCAATCATTAAGCAGGCCCCTTGTCTGTACACAGGGTTGGTGACTCAATGGGCTTCTCTCTGTGAGCACGTCGATGCTGGCCCTCTGTACTCTAGAGAGCAGTCCTTTCCCAAAATGTGTATAGAAAGAAAGCCAAGAAAAGAAACACCCTAGCCTGGACAGTGGCCAGACCTCCAAGTGGCTCCTGGTTTCTTTTTAAACTTTTAGGTTATATTTCCTACAATAATACTGTTTCCATAGCCCCAAAGCATCAAAACTTGGTGAAAATTGCTCAACATACCTACCACCTGAGGAAAAGCTGGAGTGATAATGACAATCACACTGGCTTGTGAGGTGAGTCCCTGAGCACCTTGTAGCCTTGCTACATCGTTGGATCTCTCATGTCTCCATTTTAAGGTGACCTGCAGGTGGTTTCTTCCTGATTGGTCCACTTGCTGAGGATGTAAGAGTCTTAGGCAGTGGGCCCCCTTGTGATAGTCCTATAGCCTGACTGGTGGGCAGCGACCAAAAGCCATACCACTGGGCATGTCGCCCTGAGAAGCATCAAGGCAGGGGGACGTTGGATCTAGAGGGGCAGGAATGGACCCTCTCTGGAGGGAGAGTACAGCTGTGTTGTGGATGACTGCAGCTCTGACGTCACCACAGGCCATCTTCAAAGGCTTTCAGACAAGGCTGGAGGGAGCATCTCAGAGTCCAACTCTAGAAAGGGCACAGGATGTGGGGCTAGACCATGGAGTCTCTGCCTTTCACTTCTGGGCCTTGGATGAGTCACTTTAAGGACCATTTCACTGAGGCTGCTGTGGCTCAGAGAACAGCGTGGTCTCTGCCCAGGTCATACAGGGTCTGCTGAGAGAGCTCAGCTTATCTGGAAAAACCAGCCAATGAGAACCACTGTGGCAACAGCTAAGCAAAAAAAGGAAAAAAAGAGAGAGAGAAAGAGCCCCAATACCCATGGGACACTCACTAGCAAGCACAGTCTACTACATGGCTCTAGTGCCCACACACCCTCCATTCTGAGCTGCTGTGGGACACTCCCGGAGCTTTCTGTGTATCCAGCTAATAAAAAAGGTCCTTCTTTGAAGGTCAGTGACACTGGCCAGACTGGTGGCCCCTCATCCTGACGAAGATATCCAACCACTGTTTCTTTGCCTGATAAACTAGAGGTCAGCCTGCCCAGCAAGGCTCCACTGGTGTGCTCACAATGCCAGGTGACCCAGGCTTCAGAGTATCATTGTCTAGGGAAATCCTCTCAGAGGACCCCTGACTCCACGCATATGGAGGCCAGATGTCAACCTCAGGTTTTGGTCCTAGAATGACATCATAGTGTGTGTGTATGTGTGTGTGTGTGTGTGTGTGTGTGTGTGTGTGTGTGTGTGTGTAGAAGCCAGAGGTCAATGTCAGATGTCTTCCTCCTCAATCTCTACCTTATGTCTTATTTTTCAGTATGTTTATTTATTTATGTGTGAGTGTATGGGCCGGCATGGAGGTCAGAAAACAAGTTGCGGGAGTTGATTTCTCTCCTTCCATCATATGTGTCCCAGGGATCAAACTCAGATTGTCAGGTTTGGTAGCAAGTGCCTACTCACGGAGCCACCTTGCCAGCCTGTCTGTCATTTTTTGAGATAGGGTCTTTCACTGAGCCTAGAACTCACGGATGTGGCAAGGCAGTTTGGCCATCCAGCCCCCAGGACCCTCCTGTCCCTACCTCCCTAGCACTGGATTACAAGTGTTTACTGGTATACTCTTTTTTAACCTGAGCTCTAGGAGATCAAGTCAGGTCCTCACGCTTCAATGGCTAGCAAATGACTGAAGCTTCTTGCAGTTAAGTTCCTTCTCAGTGAGCTCTCGCCCAGTTGACTTCTTTACACGCTGAGCCAATTCCTTAGCTGACCTCTTTTTATGAGAAGTCTCCAGAGATTCATCAGTGGCTTCTGGGTCGATTGGGGAGGAAAGAGCAATATTAGTTATCCATTCGCAGACTCTGAAACCCGACACTTGGGGTGGGAGGGAGTACTGTCCCAGAGGCCCAGCAGAGATGGCCACTGCCCTTTGTCTTGCCCACTGTGGACAGCACGGCTCACCATTGCCAGGTGTAATAAGATACTATGGGTTGGAGATGGCTGTGCTGTCCTCAAATTAGCTGGAGGCTTGATCCCTTAGGTGGTAGTAGTGTCAGGAACTTGGTGTACCTTTAAAATGTGGAAAGTCTACCAGGTAGTGGTGGTGAACACCTTTAATGCCAGCACTCAGGAGGCAGAGACAGGCAAATCTCTGAGTTAGAGGCTAGCCTGGTCTACAGCTCAAGTTCCAGGACATCCAGGGCTACACAGAGAAACCCTGTCAACGGGGAAAACAAACAAACAAAAAAAACTTGGAAGTCCTTAGGTCAAATGGGGAGCATTTCCTCAAAAGGACAGCTCTCTGTCTTCTCCTTCTTAAAATGGCACGTTTCATGAGGTCTCTGTAGGGAAAAGGGGGCAGCCAAAGAAACACACCCTGAGAAGAGCCAAAGAAATGCATCCTGACCCCAAAACTAGTGTCAAAAAAACACACTTTGGCCCTAGAATCAGAACCAATGAAAGAAATACACCCTGGCCCTAAAATTAGAGCCAAAAGGCTAAAAAGGACCAATGAAAGAAATATACATTGTCCCTGAAACCAGAGCCAAATCTGACCCTGAACCTGTGCATAAAACCAACCAATCCCTGAGCACAAGATCTAGTCAATCTGAGTTAGAGGCTAGCCTGGAAATCCCACCCTGGAAATCTCCTCCCTGGAAAAACTCGGCCCCTAAGAAGCCCTATATAAACCCTGTGCCTGTTCCATTTGTGGCTGTCCAGCAGTCCCCTTCCACCCTGGCAGAAGCAGCCACTCTCCTGGATTCTCTCTCTCAATAAAGTCTCTCTTTCGATAAATCTCTTGAATGACGTCTGGATGAGACCTTCCTTTGAAGGAATAGAGTGGAAAGAAAGAAGTTACAACTTTTTGCCAGAGCCAGAGGGAGCAGAACTATAACACTTCTGCCAGGGAAACCTTTCCCCTAGCAAAAGTGGAGTTGTTACACTACACTCTAGGGGACATGACCTGAACTGTAACAACTCAGGAAGCCCTCAGTCTGGAAGCCCTCTCCTGCTGGAACAGAGTTGTTATACTGGGGAAGTCTTTTCCAGGAGCAGGGTAGTAAGCTGCTACCCTTACTTGTGACCTGTGGTATTCCTGGGCTCCCGACTGCTAACATACCTTTCCACCCGAGCTGTAACACTCAGTATTCTTTGGCTCAAGAGTGCCAGAATCCCTTTCCATTTGAGGCACCACAATGCTTACAGTCTTTATAAGACTTTAACTGAGACTGATGCTATGTCCTCCAGCCTCCTAAACTGAGCTATAAACCTGCTCTTCTCTCCTTTCTTCCTTTTTTTTCTTTCATTGTTTTGGTTATCATTTTTGTGACAGTTTTGCCATGTAGCTCAAGCTGGCCTAGAATTTGTGACAATCTTCCTGCTTCTGCCTCTTTAATTACGAGAATGTAATCCCACCACACTTAGCCTGCCTCTGGTATTTTGTTGTAGTAATGAAAACTCAGGACTGGTGAGGGCTCAGCTGGTAAAGGAGTTTGCCATGCAAGCCTGATGATCTGAGGTTGAGCCCCAGAACTGGTGTAAAGGAGGAAGGAGAGAACCAACTCTAACAAGCTGTTCCTCTGACCTCCACAAGTATACCTATGTTATGCTTGTACACACACACACACACACACACACAGAATTAAAATTAAAATCTTTAAAAATATGAATGAATATAGGAGGCAGTTCTGGTGTTTGCCCTGGTCTGTTTTCTTCTGGATACAAAACTCTCCTTGACCACCATCAGTCTCCATGCCTTAATTTCTTAAAGGGGTCAGAGCTCTAGCAAGTGGCAGGAACTGGGTTGGAACCTAAGAACCTGTTTGGGGCCTCCATTCTCTCTCTACCCTCTTTGGACCCTTACCAAAAAAAGCTGAGTCAAAGGTGGACTTCTGAGGCCAAGTTTATTGAGACATTATTTTGTTCTGTGCACTGGGCACAATACATTCAAGTCTGTCCATCCCGATTCCATGGTACTTTCTGTGCCTGCAGCCTTGACTGTGGAGATGGACATTTCTGCTGTGGGAGGGTAGTTTTCAGTTTCCTGAGAGCTGCCCCAGTCCATGTCTGGGTAACTTGTGGGGACAGGAAGAGCAATGGGCTGGCACTGTTTCCTGAGGGAAGGGGTAGGGGGCAAAGTGCTAATCACTCAGTCTGACTGGGGCCACGTAGGGCTGTGCGTGGTGGGCTTCTGAAATCGTACAGGAAGCAGGCCCCTGGGTTTTCTAGAGGTTCCTTGCTCACATCGGAGAGTTCAAAGAAGAGTCAATGTGCCTCGTCCAATTGGACGGTGCCAATGAAAGACCATGTGCCAATGGTGACAAGGAATTCAGGGACTCAGAGGACCTTCCAGCCCATGTCTGAGGGTTTCATTTTCTGGAGGCCTGGCAGGTCTCTTCTACCTTCCTGGATGTCACTATGGGAAACATGGCATGGACCAGGGAGGTGAGCAGGGCCATATGGATGGGGAACAAACCTCTGCCCAGAGGCTGGGGAGGGAGGAATGTGACAGGGAGCTAGTTGAGGGAGGTTGAGGAAGGGTGTGGCTGGCTCTGGCCCAGGGACAAGCATCCCAGAACTGTCTGCACCTGCCCATGTCAGCAGGGGGCAGAGGACAGGACTAGCAGAGTTTGGGTAGCCTGGGGCCTGGCAGTGTGGGGAGAGGAGCTCAGTGTTGGAAGAAAGCATTGGCACAGGGTGGTACACTTGTCCACTGTCTCTGAAGGGCTGTCACTTGTCCGTGTGCTGCAGCAGCAGGTCCACAGCCTCTGCAAGGTTGTTCACGTACCCATCAGCCTTCACTTTTGGATGATGCTCATCGCCAGGCCTGGAGGACAAGGCTGCAGATTATTAGTCTAGTAGGATACTGTCCATTTTTGTTATTACTGAATACTAGAGCCCAGGTAACATTATAAAGAAAAGACATTTGTGAAGTTCCATTGTTTTAGACTGAAAATTCCATATTAGTTCATTGGTTAGGCCTCATGGAGGACATAAAGACATCATCACGGTAGGAGTGTGGTACAAGAGAGTGATTCAGGGATCAGAGTTAAGGTTTAAAAGCTCACTACTAGGCAGGCTCTTCCTCTCAGTGCCCACAAGAACCATCTCCAACCCTTTGAAAACAGTAACTCAGTGACCTTCTCCTAGACCCCAAGTTGCTGAAGGTCTAGCCATGTCCCACATGGTCACAGTGCGTACCAAAGCTCCGTCACACAAGCCCTTGGGGAAAAGCCAACCAATCTCTGAGTACAAAAATCTAGCACCCTGACCCTGAACCCAGAGCCAGTGAAAGAAACACAGCCTGGATCTGAAACCCAAGCCAGTGAAAGAAACACAGCCTGGATCTGAAACCCAAGCCAGTGAAAGAAACACAGCCTGGATCTGAAACCCAAGCCAGTGAAAGAAACACAGCCTGGATCTGAAACCCAAGCCAGTGAAAGAAACACAGCCTGGATCTGAAACCCAAGCCAGTGAAAGAAACACAGCCTGGATCTGAAACCCAAGCCAGTGAAAGAAACACAGCCTGGATCTGAAACCCAAGCCAGTGAAAGAAATACTTTTGCCCTGAACCCAGAACCTCAAAAACGTGCCCTGATCCTGAAACCAGAGCCAAAGAAACACACTTTGACCCTAGAACCAGCCAGTGAAAGAAATATGCCTTAGCCCCGAAGAAACCTCCCTGTTCTCTGCCTGTCAGGCAGCCAGGGCTGTGGCTCCCACTGTGCCCCTCTCTGTAGTCCCGCCAGAGCACACACATACTCCTGTCTGCTACTCCACACCACTCTGCAGCAGAGTAACCACGAGCCTGGGTTCCCATCTGCATCTTAGCAGAAGGGTCACCCAGAGAGAACACCCTATTGGCAATTGGGGTGCTGGCCTGGTACATGTGCTTTGTGGGGATGCTTAGGGTACTGACAATCAGAACTCTTCCCTGATGCTCTGGGGCCATGTGCTACCCAGTTCTTAGAGGCCACTGCTGCTTAACAGGGATGCCAGGGACTCCAGGCGAAAGCATCCTTTGATTGGGATGCTGAGGACTAGGACCTCGCCTCAGCCTTCACCCATTCTCTGGCCATACCTGCAGTCTGGCTGGACACTGGGCTGGTGCAGAAGCCTGGACACTCAATGAGGTTGAGTCCTGAATTCAGAATGGACTCTAAGCAGACAATAAGACTGGGGAGAAGAACTCTGCACAGAGGGCCCGGGTGGGCTCATCTGCACGGTCTTCTGAAGATGTGTGGGCCTCATCCCAGTGGCCATGGGCAGCCTGACCTGGGCTGTGAGCCAGAGGCTCCTCTTGGCCACCATCAAGCCCCTTCCTTCCCATTGTCCCCAGGCTTCTTGGCTTCACACTAAGCAGTCAGCTGGGGTGTGGCAGGAGGAGGGACAGCCTCTGTAAACCTCCCACCCCTAAGGAACATACTGCTGGGATTACCCCAGGCCTGACTCACACTTCCCTGGAACTATATCTACCTGCAGTAGATTATTATTGCCCCCCTCAAGCCTCCACCCAGCCTGAAGGGGGTGGTTTAGTTGCCTGAGATTAGCTAAAACCCACATTGACCTTTTCAGATTCTGACAACTCTAGGATACTGGCTTGGAGGTCATGTCCCAGAGGGAAGGGGCTTCCCTGCAGCTACCAAGGCCCTGGACTAGAAGAGGGGGTCCTCTCTCCCCAGGGAACGGTGATAGGAACAGCCTAGCTTCACATTCACAACTGGGGCCTGTGCAGAGAAGGAAAGGAAACAGCCAGGGCCTGAGGGAATGATGGGTAGGAAGGTCAGGGAGTTTGTGAAAGGGACCAGGCCTGAGCTCAGCTTCCATCATGTTCTGGGGATGACACAGGATGCCTGTTCACAGCAGGCAGCCCTGGCCCTTGGATGCTGGCTGGAAGCGAGGCAGAAGCAGCTTTGCCGTCATCCAGCTCACCTGGGTACTGTCTGGAGTCTGGGGTTTAAAGGCCGGTCTGGGAGAGGCACTCCTACACAGCAATCTGTGCTGGGTCTCACAGAAGCTGCACGCTCAGCTCAGCCTCCACTGGCATGGCTGCCATCCTGACCTCTGGTGGATTCCTCATAAGGCAAAAGGGGCATTTTCTGCCTAGGCCAGACTGGTTCCCTCCAGCTTGCCCTTACCCCGCCACTGGATCCAGTCTGGTCTCTTTCCCTCTCTCCCATAGCCAAGGGTGTTCCAGGATGCTCACCTGCTCTGGCCCCTCCTTTGTATAAACTGCCGAGTGTCTTAAATGCCCAACAGCCTTGACCCTCAGCAGAGCAGAGTTCTATCCTGCCTCGGCCCTGCCACATGACAGCCGCCAGCTTCAGACATTCCCCACATTCAGAGGCCACTGTCCATGCTAAGCGTTAGAGTCCTTCAATCCACCCTTCCTTCTTGAGGCGTTCTCACTTGGTAGGCCAGGCTGCCTCAAACTTAAAGCAGTCCTCCTGCATCAGCAGTTAACCACTGCCTTCCTTTAGAAACGCTCTTGATGCCACCTGCCCCCCCCCCCAAACAGGGTTTATCTATGCAGTCCTGGCTGTCCTGGAACTAGCTCTGTAGACCAGGCTGGCCTCAAAAAGAGATCCACCTGCTGTCCCACTGTGACTGGACAACCCCCTGCTTCTCCACTTGCCAGTGATGGTGCTTCCTAGAGGGAGGGGCCGAGTTTCTCGTCCTCTTGTCCCCAGTGCAGGCCTGGCCCCTCAACAGCACCCAGGAAGTATCTATCACCCAATGAATGAACAAAGGGCAGGGTGCTGCCTGTCATTAGTTATTCCTCCCCCACAGGCCCCAGGAGCTCAGTGCAGGGAACGGCTGAGTAAGGGAGAAACAAGGAGGTTCTGTGCACACAGCCCACGGGCCAGCTTCACAGGGATGGGCTTTGTACCCACTGAAAGAAAACAGCACAGGGTCCCAGGCAAAGAAGCCCAGCAAGGACAGCCTCCCGCTACCTCCACCTCCAGGACGCAGATGGCGGGAGCCCACCGAGGACCACCTCAGGGACAGCACAGCCAGGGAGCTCGATCCTGCTTCTTCCCAGTCACTGCCTGCTCCCCAAGAGCAGGGCAGGGCTCTCATGACTACAGCAAGGCATGCATTCTTGTCCTCTGCTTTGGAGCAGTTGGGCTGCTGCCCCTGGTGGCTGAAGCCAGGTCCTGGGGCTGCCCAGGGACAGAGCATTCAGTGAACTGGGAACTGGCATAGGGTAGTGATGCCAACTTTAGGCCACACTGACGCAGCTGGAAGACAGAGGGTATCCAGCTTGGGGCCAGATGCAAAAGGCATTTTTATATCTGAATGTGGGTGGAGTGAGAATCTGAACTACCCGGGAGATTGGACATCAGAGCGTGGCTCCCACAAAAGCCAGGAGGATGGGGCTTGGAGACTTGTTTCTTCTGGCCTATAAACCCAAGCTGTTCTGGAAGCCTACAGGGAACTCCTCTCTCCTTGGCATGTATTCAAAGGGTTTGTGCTGTCTACCTGCTGGCTCAGAACACACACGGTCAAGACATAGCTCTCTGGGTCCCAGAGGATCAGGCAAGAGGTCAGGTCATCTTAAACCCAGCCAATAGCTAACCCCTGGCCTGTGCTGGGCTGCAGGCTGGTGCCTGAGGGTCAGTGATCTCCTGGCAGTGTAGGGCATGGTTGGCACTGGACACAATTCTCAGACAGGCAAATGCTGCTCTTCCTCTCTTTCCTGTTACAGCTCTAGACCTAGGCTCTGGAGGTGGGTGGGGAAAGAGCATGCCTGGAGCTGGGTGTTCCTGTCCTGCGCCCTGGGGGAAAACACTGGGCCATGCTAATTATGAACATACTTGGATAGACATCCTTCCCGTGGAGCCCATGTCCTTGTCTAGCCAAGGTCTCTCTGGTATTCACTGCACTCAAGGCCTGGTGGCTGAGAGACATACAAAGGGATTTATTCCTGTCACAGTCCTTGGAGGGCTGGGTCTGCCTGGTACCTAAGTTCATGGTACCTCCGACCTCAGGTACCGGTGCTCACTCTTGTACCCTTGTAACCCTCAGCCTGAAGCCTGTTATCTCCAGCCCTGTCCCTACCTGGCACTAGCTGAAGCCATCGTGAACAAAGTTTCATTAGGGTTCTTCACTGGCCACCCATCAAGGATCAGGGCCATCACCCAGTTCCAAGCTCCAACAAGAAAGGCTGGCCAATGGCAGGCCTCAATCTTCCTGAGGCCCCTACGGAGGTGTCTTAGTTGCTGTTCTATTGCTGTAGAGAGACACCATGGCCAAGCAGCATATAAAAGAAAGCATTTCATTGAGGGCTTCCTTCTAGTTTCAGGTTTGTCTAAGATCATCATGGTGGGAAGTATGGCGGCAGGACCGCAGGCATGTTGTTAAAGCGGTGGCTGAAAGCTTACCTCTATTTCATCAGCAAGACGAGGCAAAAGCAGAGACTGGGCCTGGTAACCTCGAACCCCACCCCCAGTGACACACCTCCTTCGACAAAAAGGCCACACCCCTCAATCCTTCTTAAACAGTCCGCCAACTGGGAACCAAACATTCAACTATATGAACCTATAGAGGCCATCCTCATTCAAACCACTACATTAGGGCTAAGGCTTCCTGGCCACTAAAGGAAGTGGAGACATCTTCTGTGACTGGTACCTCCCTTGCGGTCAGAGTTCTAGTCAGCACAGGTGATCAAAGCATTACATCTCTAGTCCAACAGAGCAAAAGTGTGGCCAGGGTCTGATCCAGTGTCCTGCCCGATGCGCTACCATTTTGACTCTGCGGTGGGATCGTTCCTTCTGCAGATACCCCAGCAGAAGTGCAGTGCAACTGGAAATGCTGTGAATGTTGAGGACCAAACAGC